CGAACCGCGGTCGACTACGTGGGAGTCCAGCGACATAGCCATTACGCTAACTGCTGGTCCCAACAACGGGGCACTTGTACCACACACCCATCGAAGGCCAGAGTCCAGAGCACCGGCAGCGCAGAAGAGGGCTTTCCCTTCACCCACTGCCCGCGGGAGTGCTGGAGGTGCAGCCACCTTGGAAGACAGGTCGGCTGCTTCCCACAAAACTACACACTCTAACCACACGGCCCGGCAGTCGCACTCCTTGGTATTCACCCAGATGAGTCAGAGCCCGTCTGCACAAAACCTGCCAACAGGTGCGTACGCAGCTTCATTCGCAATACAGCTAAAACTCAGAAGTGACCAAGTGCCCTTCGGTAGGAGAATGGACAATCCAGACCATGGGACAGTGTTCAGCAATAAAAATAAATAAACGGGGACCAGCAGGGGACACTGTGCTTAAGGCACTGGACTCCCACATGGCCGAGCTCAGTTGAAGTCTTGGACGTAGCAACGTGCTCTCTCTCTCCCTCTCTCTCCCTCTCTCCCTCTCTCTCTCTCTCTGGTGACCACGCATGCTCTATCGCAAAATTTTCAAAATAATAAATAAAATCAGGACCAGCAAATGGCATAATGGCGTCACTGGACGCCCACGTAGTTGACCATGGTTCAAATAAGCTACCAACGCAAGAAAAGATGGAGGAACCTTAAGGAAGAAGCTTAAATGTATATGCTAAGTAAAAAAAGCCACTACCAAAGGCTACGTGGCATTGATACGCATATGCTAAGTAAGAGAAGCCACTACCAAAGGCTACGTGGCATTGATACATGATTGCAGCGATGCGACAGTCCAGAAAAGGCCACAGAAAAAAGGCAGTTCTGAGGAGTTCGGGTGGCAGGAAGGAACGGGCCGAGCACGGGGACTTCAGGGCAGTGAGCGTCTCTCAGCCTGACGTGGTGTGAAGGCCTCCAGCAGAGGTGGTCTTATTTTTGCCTGTCTTCTCTCTTCCACACGCGGCCGTTCTTGGTTGGAGCTGCTATCTGGTGGGGAACGCATTTTAGATTTCAGAGCCAGGTCCCACAGTCATGGTGACAGTCATGTCCGCCTGAGGGTCTGGCAGCCCCCCAGAACTGCTGCTCATGGGAGGCCCTGTCAAGCCCCAGGTACCTCAACCAGGATCCAGATCCTTCCCGTCCATGAGGAAACGATGCAATGACTGTCTATTTGTGTCACCTGATGGGGGCTTTCTAAAGTGGGCTGTTGCCCTCAAAAGTATGCCCAGATAGCTAAAAAGGTCACGCCTCAGGCCCTCGGCTTTTATTCCAGCTCTCAGGAAAAAAGTGATGCAGCCCAAAGCAAAGGACACCTGGGGGCTGCAGGAGGCGGGGGAAATAGAGGCAGCAAGTTGGAGTGGGGTCCTGGGCCCAGCTGTGCGGTGCGGTCCTAGGAGATGGGGTAGCTAAGGGGCCACCCCTGCCCCGCCCTGGAGGTCTGGCCATCAGCACTCCTTGGAAGCCCTCCGGGCCAGGCCCTGTGCAGCCAGGACAGAGACCATTTACTGGGATGCTGAGTGCAAGGTCACAGGGCAGCAGAAGAGCCCAGAGTGGAGCCCAGACCTAGGGCCATGGGCACTGCTCCCAAATGAGCCTCGGGTCTTTTTGGTTTTGTTTTTATGTTTTAATTTACTTATTTATTGCTCCTGGCGGCAGTGGTAGAGAGAGAGGGAGAGACAGACACCCTCCTTAACCAACGGAGTCTTCACACCACGATCTACCCTCAGCCTGAGCCAGCCCGGATCACGGGCACGTGTGTATACACAGCCGGAGTGTGGAAAGAGGGCCTGACATGAATCCAGGCCTTCCCATGTGGGTCCAGTTGCATCAGCACTGCGTCACCACCTGGCCCTGAGCCTCCGTTGTTCTATCTGCAAGATGGAGATCTGCCTACCGGGTTGTTATGGGCAAAAATTCAAGCACTGCACCCCATGCGAGGTGGGACACCGGGTGACAGAGTCTGCGCCCTGTGTGCAGGACCCTGAGCTCACGCAGCAGCTCCTCGTACCACCCTTGGGGACAAGCGCTATCATTTACTTCCCTTTCACAGACAAGGACACCAAGCTCCAGGGGCGTGAAGACTGCCCGAGGTCACTCTGAGCAAGCTGGCAGGGTCAGGGTTCAGGATGCAGGTAGCGTGTGACACTGAAGACACGAGCGCTCTGGGGGCTCAGCGAGGAGCTGGAGGTGGGGGGGGAAGCTGGAAGGAGCAGAGATTTAGAGGGGAGACAAGAGCATGTCAAGGGGCACAGGAAGGTCTCCCTAGGCCATGGGCCTTTCGAAAACCAACAACGCGAGACGGTCCTGGCTCCGTGCACACGTCCACTCCTGGGACACCCAGTCTGAGCGGACTAGCTACTGTACATCCCCAACAGCAGAGCCGGCACTTCCATCCCATTCGGTGACTGGGAAGCCTGAGGGCTTAGAAAGGAGGGCGCAAGACCCAAAGCCATGCAGCCAGGAGCAGTGCAACGTGAACTCGCGGGGAAGGTGAACGATGGGGTCCTACTCATCCTGAAGACCCTACTCTAAAAGCCCTTCCCTGGGGTCCAGAACCTCCCGTACACCGTGTGCTTCTTACATTAGGCTTGGGCTCCGGTTTCAGGCCTACTAGGCCACGAGCTCCCAGCTTTCAGGTGTCCCCAGGTCCCATGCCATCAGGTGGCAGTACACAGAGCAGCAGAAATGTGGGCCCAGGGAGCCTTCCTGGCCTTCCTCCGGGTGACAGACCTTGTCCTGACACCGACGCTCTCCGTGGAGGAAAGAGTCCGGTGTGTCAGTGCCAGCGCCTGGGGACTGGCACGCCACCCCCTTTATACACGGAGCCCCTCCCAGTCCCCAAGCCCTTTCTCATCCCCCTCAGTACACAAGGGTGCTGTCATTAACTTGCTTTAGAAAAGGAGAAACTGGGGCCAGCAGGTGGCGTGGTGGTTAGGGGCGCTGGACTCCCACATGGCCAACCATGGTTTGAGTCCCGGACGTGGCGGCTTGCTTTCTCACTTTTTCTCTCTCTCTCACACTCTGTCCTTCTCTGATCAAATTAAAATAAATACATAAATAAAGTTAAATAAAAAAAGAATGGCTTTATTTACATTTATTTATTTATTTTCATCTATTTTGTTTGGGACTTGAACCACAGTCGGTCATGTGAGAGTCCAGTGCCCTTAACCACCATGCCCGTGCCAGCCCAAAATAATTCTTAAAAAGAAGGAGAAACTGGGCCAGCAGGTGGCATGACGGTTAGGGTGGCTGGACCCCACATGACTGACTCTGTGGTTCAAGTCCCACACTCAGCATCTTCAAAAGCACACCAGGTGCATGTGCGTGCATGCCCAGAATCCCAACAGAAGAATGGAAGAGAAGAGACTGCAGTGTGGCCATGCCTCGGGGGGTGATTTCTCACTTTCCCTGTCTCTCTCTAGTGAGCACACGTGCCCTGCGGCAAAAATCTAAAAGAGAAAGCAGAAAGTGGCTCAGGGAGCAGCCATTGCCCACCCAAACTTGGCGGCCTGAGCTGGTGTGGCTCTCTGCCCCATCCCTCGGGTCCTGCTACCTTCTGCTCTCTGAAGTCAGGGGGTAAAGGAGAACCACCCGATCAGGTCATTACTGCGGCTCCACAGACTTGGGTCCGAGCTGGGCTGCCGACTCCACCCTTCCTGTGCCTCAGTTTCCCCATCTGTGTCCGGAGGAGTCTGTGAAGTGTTGCCTGGAAGGCGGCGGACAAGCAGATCAACCCTCCGCACCCTGCCCTGCCTGGAGGGGCTGGGCCCTGGGGTCCGGATTTCATTAGTACCCGTCTGCCCCCCACTACCTTCTGAGGATCCAAGGATCCGGATTCACCGAGGCCCCCCCAAAGATCAGGATGTCGGATAGTTCAGCAGTGGAGGGGCTGCTGACTGTGCGGGCAATGGCCAGGCTCAGAGCAGGCCCTGGCTGGAAGGTGAGGCCAGGGAGGCGCCTGGTGCAGAAGCTAAGGAGGCGCTAGTCCAGGCCACCCTGACCAGCACGGCCCTGACAGCGAAGGCCTCCTTTGTCATCCTGGGCATGTCACTCACCCACCCTGTCCTGGCCCCGTTTTGAGCAAGAGCCAGAGGAGGGGCCGACACGCCAGACCCAGGTCTAGCCCCAGGACCTGCCCCCTCTAGCCTCCCCAGTGCCCCGTCCCCAGAGCCTCCCACTGGCCCGCTCTTTGCTGCGCTTCCTGGACTGAGGCCGGCTGTCACTTCCTGTCTTCATGCATGCCGCTCCCTCTGGCCGGGATACTTTCCCCGCTGCTTGATGAGGCCCAACCCAGTCTCACCTTCTCATCTCGGACACCCCCACAGGAGTTCCCCTCACTGCCCCAGAACGGCCGTCGGCCAGGTGGGCGGTGGTGTCTGGCCCAGAGCAGGGACTCAGTGAGCCCTGGATGGAGGGCGGGTGGACCGACAGGCAGCCGGCAGCCCAGGGGCATTCAGCCTCAGCTGCACAATGCCTGAGGCCCATGGGCTTCTGAAGGGCCCAGGAAAACGGGAGACCTGGAATACAGGTTTTGTGTTGGTCCCGAAGTGAGTGCAGGACGGTAGTATTTTCTTTTTTAGAGAGAGATTTTGCTATATGGCACGTGCACTCGCCGGAGAGATGGAGAAAGAGAAAGCGAGAAACCGACCCGCAGTGGGGTGGCCACGCCATAATCCCTTCTCCTCTGTTCTCTCAGATCTTGGGCACGCACGCACACACGCCTGGCATGAGTTTTAAATTCCCGGATCCGGGCCTCGAACCACGTTTGACTACATGGGAGTCCAGCCACGTAACCATTACGCCATCTCCTGGTCCTGGGACGGTCATTGTGAGCAGCTGAGGAAGCTGAGGAAGAACTAACCAAACATGAAGGTGCTGGCTGGCCCACCAAGGTGCACCGGGCTGTCAGTGGCTGAGTGCATCTGCCAGTGTTTAATGTGACACGGTCCATGCCACCACAGGAAGGGGCCCTGACCAACCAGTTCCCAGGCTTGGCAGCCCTCACTGGGCCTGTGCAAGGGGCAAACCTAAGATACATTGATGCACCCCCCCACCTCCACACAGAAGCTTAGAAACATGCCTGGTGTGCGTGCCTAGAACCCAGCAGGATGGAGAAGAAGGGGTGTGGTTACCTCTGTACTCCCTGTCAGAGCACCTCTGGGCCCGCAATTGGCCAGACGAATCCTGCAGCCCAGGAAGAAGCAGGCAGGGCCTGTGACTCAAATGCCTGCCCTGGCAGAGGGGAACAACATAGCCAAATGGCGGCCCCAGCGCCAGCTGTCCAGGCCGCTTCTGGGGACATTCATTGCTCTGAGTGCTGGTTGAGACAGAAGCCCTGGAGTGAGTTCCTGCCATTGCGCCCACAAGCCGGGTGACCCTTGCCCCACCCACACAGCCCAGTCCTCAGCCAATCAGCTCTTAGCTTTCCCCGGGCCGCAGTTGTGGTTCGCTGGCTGTGCCTGAGGTCCCGCCCTGGATTTCTCAGTTGTGGGCATCAATGTATCTTAGGTTTGCTCAGGTGAGCTGGGACAGGTTTTCCATCTGTCATAGGTGACCGTCCTGACTGCGCCCTGCTGAAGCGCCCGCTACGCCTGGATTCTGTCCTCACCAGGCAGTTCCTAATCCGCCCCCCCGCCCCCAAGTCTGCAGGGATCACTGCGCAAGATGGGTGCAGGGGCCTGCAGGTGGGACCCTGTCTCTTGTGCTCCCAGTCCCGTCCCATCACATGGCCCAGTCACGGGTCAGGCTTCCAACAAATTCGGGACGTAAGTCTGTGCAGCCCGTTGGCAGGGTCCACTGTTAGCCATGGCCAGTGGCGGCACGAAAAAAACGTCTGGATCCCAAGCCTGCGTTTGAATCCGCCTCTGCCAGGGGCTGGCGGTGCGGCCCCAGGGTGCCTACTCCCCCTCCTTGTCCCTGGTGGATGACGACACGGTGACAACTTCCTGTCTGCTCCCCCCACCATGAGCTCTTTCCGGTTGATGCTGGAGTTGGCCAGCGCCTGCCTGCACAGGCTGGGGCTCCAGAAACACGCATAAAACTGGGCACGCAGTCTTCTGTGAAAATGAGGGGAGGCGCCCTGGCCCAGTGGTTCAGGGAGTCAGACCCGACATGGCTGACTGCAGCTCGAACCCCAGCCTGCACCCCCCCACCTCCGCACAGAAGCTTAGAAACATGCCTGGTGTGCGTGCCTAGAACCCAGCAGGATGGAGGAGAAGGGGTGTGGTGCAACTAGCCCTCTGGAGGTGCTGGCTCCCCTCTACTGAGAGCACAGGCCTGACAGTTGGAAAAAAAATAAAAAGATGAAGAAATCGTGTGTGTCCTGGGCTTAGATTGTAGGGGGGTCTCCTAAGGAAGAACATTACCATTGCCAAACGGGTCCCCACAACGGCTCCCCGTGGACCGGAACTTCACCCCCAAAAGGCACTTCAATGGCGGCCCTGCAGGCTCCAGCCCTGTGGTCTGAGGTCTCTAAGTCCAGAGCCCCTCCCGGACTATTCCCAGCCCTGCTCCAGCCAGGCTTTGCCAAAGGCCGAGAAGGGCTGAAGATACCCAAGCAGGCCCCAGAACAGGCAAGCTGCTGCCAGGAGAGGGTGGGGACCCTGCCTGCCCCCCCCCGACATTGGCCCGACCTATGAGCCCTGGGGGCCCCGTGCAGAGGTCCCCAAGCTGGCCCCTCACTCAGCTTGCCTCACAGCCCCTCGACCAGAGTGCCCGTCCCAGGCCGCCTGCCCCAACCTCGGACCCTCTGCTCACGTACACCCCATCTGGTTCTGGTTTTGAGGGGGGGAGCAGGAAGAGAGCTGGCACCCCGGAGGTAAACTGATCCCTTCACTTCTAGTCCTGGCGCCTCAAGCTCTGTGCGTTTCCCTCCCCCTGCTATCCCGGCCCACGTGGCCCAGGGCTGCTCCTCCTCAGGGAACCTGCTGAGGGCATTTGGGACATGGGGCCCCGGCAGAGAACCTGCCTCCCCTGGGGGCAAACGCCACATCTAAACCAGCTGCGCCAGAGACCAGCCTGGAGCCTAGGGATGGGTCGAGTGTGTGTTCTTGTAAGTGGGATCATGCGTGTTCATGTGTGTGCGCACATGGTCATGTCCCAGACATACGGAGAGAGTCCTTCTGACCCCGAGCGTGCATATCTGCATAGCTCAGCCTTCTTCCCCAAGCCATTTACCCACACCCTCGAGAGGTTGCAGTCAATCTCTGATTTGAATTTTTAACCTCAAATGTCACATGATAAAAATAGTTGTGTTGTTTTATGGATGGTATTTGTCAGGGAACTCTGCACGGATGCAATTTGTTCCATGGAAGAGAAAGCAAGACGCATCAGCCGCACGGGAGCAGCTACCGGGCCCGGCGGTGGCCAGGCTGGGACTGTACCAGTCAACACCACTGTCCTCTCGGGGAGGGGACCCCAAGTGGCCGGGCAGGGCCGGAGTCCTGGCAAGGTTGGCAGAGGTGGGTGGGGACCCTGGGCTGGATGATTCGTCTCCAGTGGACAGCACAGGTGACTCCTGGAACCAGGACTCTCTTCCTAACTCGGCTCCTCTTCCTGCGCCCCGAGCCTCAGGAAACCTCTCCCCCCAGCTTTTCCATTTGTGAAGGGCGCTTGCTGGGCCTAAACTCCCTCCCCTGCAGTGTGAGAGAGAGCAAATCGGTGTTAATGGACCTGCAGGGGACCAAGGGGTAAGGGGCTGAGGCCCCTAGCTTGTCCCCTCTCACCAATAGTCGCAGCCCCAGCTACAGGCACGAGGCCCGCCTTGCCAATGGCAACCTGAGGCTCAGAGAGACTCACGCTTTGCCAAGATCACTCCAAAACTGGGGTAAGGCTGGGGCCAGAATCCATGCGGCAAAGCCGGCCACTCCCTGGGTGCCTGGCCCTCTCTGTGGCCAGCTTCTGCTTCTAAGCCTGTGTCACCAGCTCGGGGGACAGAGGAGCCCCCCTCCTAGCTGAGCAGCTTGGTTTCTCGTCACAGCCCCTGTTCTAACGCTTGAATCTCCTTATCCTTCCATCCCTCAACAGCGTGGAGAGGCCGGCTGAGGCCAGAGTGAGCCCAGCCCAGGGCCTGTGCTCCCTCCTCCCACATCCTCACTGCAAAATGGATTGTTCTGGGCCTTAGCTTCCTCATCTGGAAAATAGGGCCGTAGGCTGTCTAGCACCTGGAGTATTTGGGAAGGTTCATAAGGTGATCCATGAAGTCAGCAGGTGGGAGAGTTAAGGCACTGGACTCCCACATGGTGGACCACAGTTCGAGTCCTGGACCCAGTGGCTTGAAAATCATGCTGGATGCATGTGCGCTCGCCCAAAATCCTGAGACGGGTTGTGGTGTGGCCATCCCCCCCTGGGGGGGGTGACTTCTCACATTCCCTCTCTGTCTCTCCGTCTCTCTCCAGTGAGCACAGGTGCCCTATGGCAAAAACCTAAACTAAGGTGATCCATGCAGAAGGTGTAGCACATAGTAGGTGCACAGTAAATGGTTGTGCTGTCAGAATCAAGGTGATGATGAAGATGAACACACTCAGCCACCCCCACTCTGGGCACCCGGCTCAACCATCTGACCACCCCATGCACCCCAAACTCCCTCTGTTCCTGTGTGATGTGGTGTGCAGTCACATGGCCCAGACGACGTCCTTGCCTGCCTAATGAAACGTCCACCCTGGGGTCATGGTGCACCTGGGACGTGTGGCCCTGCTGGTGGGCCCATGACTTCATGAACTTGTCACCAACAATGGGTCCTTCTATAGCCCTCCCTGACCTCTCCCTGCAGGTGGAGATACACCCAGTGTAGGGTGGGTGTGGACACCTGCCAACCTCTGGCTCTGAAAGGCTGCAGAGCCCAGACTCAGGATCTGGGCTTCAGATGGCCAGGTGACCACGCTGGGGGCTCCAGTCAGGGACTCATGACCAGTTTTTTTGGAGACTGGAACAGGCCAGGAGGCCCTGGGCAACCAGGACCCAACCGCTGTCCCAAACCAGCCACCGGCTTCCTATGCAACCAGGACACCTGTTAGCTGAGAGAGCCCGTGGGGACGGTCGGGCAGATCCAGACACCCGGGAATCCATAGACCACAGAAAGCAGTCTCTCTGCCTCTGATACAGAATCCCAATCCAACAGGGCCTGCTCATCTGGAAAACAGAGCCAAGACTGCTCCGTCCTCTCTCCTGCACTCTCGTCCCTACACAGGGACCAAATTCTTTCCCACCTCTGAGCCTTTGCACCTGCTGTTCCCTCCACCCACAGCACCACTCCTGACCTCCTCTTCTGGTGAATTCCACTCGTCCTTTAGGTTCTTACTGAAAATCCACTCCCCCCAAGAAGCCTCCCCTGGGCCTGGAGACAAGTGGGGGACACCACTGTCCCACTGTCCATTCTCATAGCAGCCAGGATGTCCCCTTCATGCCAGGGACCACCCCTCCCTTGTTCTCTCTGGGGACCCCAGGGGCCTGCCTGGCACAGAGTAGGTACTCAACGAGTAATTGTGGAGGGAGAGGAGGAGGGAAGGGTTTACAGAGGCCTCCCCCACTGGCCCTCCCTTGTCAGAGAAATCAACCCCTTGGAAAAGCACCCCATCCCCCAGTTCTGCACACCCCAGGCTTGAATCTGCTACAACAGTGAGTTTCTTTAAATAATGACCCCACTTTTGGCTGATATCAGATCTTTGCTGTTCCGTTTTTCCTTCCGGTGAAATCAGAGGAGTCTGTTTGTACCTCCGTCTCCAGTAATTTCCCTCCTAGAGCCCTGAGCTCGCTCACCCAGGGGCGCTGGGACAGCTGCTCAGAGAGGCAGGCTTGCAGTTGAACACCAGGTCTCAACACACCTCCGGGGACCCGAGCTTCCCAAGCTGGGGCCCCTACTTGGCCCGACCCCTCACCCTGCCCCTTCAGCACAGCACCCAGAGCCCCCTACTGGACTGTGCCACAGGGCAGGGTCTGCACAGGGGTGCCCCTGGAAAAGTGGGGCCCGGTGGGTCCTTTCTCAGGACACTGACGAAGTTTCTGGGTGGGAAGGGGGAGATGGGAGCTGGCAGGGCCCGGGCTGTCTCTAACAAGAGGATGCTGAGGGTCCTTGGCCACCTAAGGAACAAAGGCGGGTAGCCAACGTGACACCTGGGCTCTGTGGATCTCTGCGTACTTCCTGAGTGATCCTGGGCAAGCCCCTTTAGCTTCCTGGGCCTCGGCTTCCTCATCTGTAAGAGGAGGGTGCTGCTTGACCCCCTCAGAAGCTGCTCGGAGAACTCGGGGGCTGCATGTCAAGCGTGGTGGGAGCTGGCCTGCTCACAGGTGTGCCCCAGCCTGACGCCGCCACACGGCACCCCTGTACGCAGAATGAACGCACGAGAGAATGAATGGCTCCCCTCTGGTCTTCATGGGAACGGAAGCAGAGCACAGCCTGGCGGGAGGGGAGGCGGAGTTTCTCACACAGTCCCTCGAGGAGGGCAGTCTTCCCTGTGGCTTCCTCATGAGAGGGACAGGAACAAAGTGCCAGATCACCCTTCCTTGCACCCTGGAAGGTCTTCCCTGGCTCTTCTCCCTGGTCTGGGATGCAGCCCCTCCTCCTCCAGGTGCGAGGCCAGGTCCCGCCACCTGGGGCTATGGAGGTCCAGCTTCGGATTCTGGGGAAGAACCCAGGCCTCCAGGAACCCAGCCTGGAGAGATGTCTGCACCCAGCGGTCCCCCTGGCTTCCAAGGCCAGAGTTTATGGTGAGATCTTCCCGTGGCCTCAGTGAGGGTGGGGAAAGCTGCAGGCTCCCCAGTGAGCTCCTGCCTGGCACCACCGAGGCAGCGGCCAGCTGCACCCACAGCACTCAGCACTCACACGCACCTCCCTCCATGCTTTACGGCCTCTTGCCAAGCCCGGCTTCACCTGCTGTGTGACCTTGGGCAAGTTACCTAACTTCTCTGAGCCTCAGCTTCCCAGCTATACTCATGGCAGCAAATATCCTTTCCGAGCGCTTCTCAGCTGCCCGAGTCCCTTGCTGCCCTCACCCCCCTCTCCTCCTGTAACAAATGAAGAGCTTGGAGAGAAGGACCTGTCTGGGCGACACAGCTGGTCAAGGGCTAGGCCGGGCTCCAAACCTGCCTCAGTCCCCGTGCTCTGGACGTCACCCTAAAGCAAGGAAGGGCTGTGACCCCCTTGCAAACAAAGGGAGGGCTCAAGACTGCGTGCAGGGAGAGAGCAGAGGACAGGCCCCATGGGGCGCAGGAGGAGGCCCGGGAGGACAGGGGGCGCTAGACCCTTGCACCCACCTGGGCGGAAGCGGCCACACCTGAGTCCTGCCGCCCACCCGCAACACACCTCCGGGGACCCGAGCTTCCCAAGCTGGGGCCCCTACTTGGCCCGACCCCTCACCCTGCCCCTTCAGCACAGCACCCAGAGCCCCCTACTGGACTGTGCCACAGGGCAGGGTCTGCACAGGGGTGCCCCTGGAAAAGTGGGGCCCGGTGGGTCCTTTCTCAGGACACTGACGAAGTTTCTGGGTGGGAAGGGGGAGATGGGAGCTGGCAGGGCCCGGGCTGTCTCTAACAAGAGGATGCTGAGGGTCCTTGGCCACCTAAGGAACAAAGGCGGGTAGCCAACGTGACACCTGGGCTCTGTGGATCTCTGCGTACTTCCTGAGTGATCCTGGGCAAGCCCCTTTAGCTTCCTGGGCCTCGGCTTCCTCATCTGTAAGAGGAGGGTGCTGCTTGACCCCCTCAGAAGCTGCTCGGAGAACTCGGGGGCTGCATGTCAAGCGTGGTGGGAGCTGGCCTGCTCACAGGTGTGCCCCAGCCTGACGCCGCCACACGGCACCCCTGTACGCAGAATGAACGCACGAGAGAATGAATGGCTCCCCTCTGGTCTTCATGGGAACGGAAGCAGAGCACAGCCTGGCGGGAGGGGAGGCGGAGTTTCTCACACAGTCCCTCGAGGAGGGCAGTCTTCCCTGTGGCTTCCTCATGAGAGGGACAGGAACAAAGTGCCAGATCACCCTTCCTTGCACCCTGGAAGGTCTTCCCTGGCTCTTCTCCCTGGTCTGGGATGCAGCCCCTCCTCCTCCAGGTGCGAGGCCAGGTCCCGCCACCTGGGGCTATGGAGGTCCAGCTTCGGATTCTGGGGAAGAACCCAGGCCTCCAGGAACCCAGCCTGGAGAGATGTCTGCACCCAGCGGTCCCCCTGGCTTCCAAGGCCAGAGTTTATGGTGAGATCTTCCCGTGGCCTCAGTGAGGGTGGGGAAAGCTGCAGGCTCCCCAGTGAGCTCCTGCCTGGCACCACCGAGGCAGCGGCCAGCTGCACCCACAGCACTCAGCACTCACACGCACCTCCCTCCATGCTTTACGGCCTCTTGCCAAGCCCGGCTTCACCTGCTGTGTGACCTTGGGCAAGTTACCTAACTTCTCTGAGCCTCAGCTTCCCAGCTATACTCATGGCAGCAAATATCCTTTCCGAGCGCTTCTCAGCTGCCCGAGTCCCTTGCTGCCCTCACCCCCCTCTCCTCCTGTAACAAATGAAGAGCTTGGAGAGAAGGACCTGTCTGGGCGACACAGCTGGTCAAGGGCTAGGCCGGGCTCCAAACCTGCCTCAGTCCCCGTGCTCTGGACGTCACCCTAAAGCAAGGAAGGGCTGTGACCCCCTTGCAAACAAAGGGAGGGCTCAAGACTGCGTGCAGGGAGAGAGCAGAGGACAGGCCCCATGGGGCGCAGGAGGAGGCCCGGGAGGACAGGGGGCGCTAGACCCTTGCACCCACCTGGGCGGAAGCGGCCACACCTGAGTCCTGCCGCCCAGCCGCCCGCTGGCTGGACTGGCCGCCCGCGGGCCCATCTTGAGTGCATTAGGGGCGGCTAACAGATGTTTTCTGTTACGTGTTATTTGTTAGTCTAATGAAAGGAGGTGCACTGGCTTTCAAGACCTCGGCGTTCTGCGGGGTTTATATGGGAGGCCCGCGCTGAGCTCTGGCGGCGAGAGGAGGCCACGAGGCCCCTGCCAGGCGCACCCGCCGGCGGCTCCCGCTTTGATTCCAAGGTTTCCAGCCATCCGCGTGGTAATTCCAGCTCTGGTTAAATGTCATTTTTAATAACGCCATCTCTGGCATGTAAATGTCTGTGCCCACAGCAAGCGGGAGGCCAGCGTGGGGGAGGAAAGAGAGGGAGGCCAGTCGGGACCAGTGGACAAAGTCTGGAGCAGGTGGCCAGCCCCCTGGGGACAGTGGCTTCCCACTCCTAGGGACCCCTACAAAGGGAGCCTGTCACCCATCCAGGTTGCAATGGGTGGCAGGAAAGGGGGGCACCCAAGCCAGGAGGAGGCTTTTCTAGGGACTTGAGTGACAGGGACCCCAGCTCAGTGGTGAGGCTACTGACTGTGCCATCACCCCTGCCCCCCAGCCAGCTAGAGGGAGTCAGGATGCCGTCCCAATACTCCTGAGTCCCCACCCTGTGGGCTGCCTCCGGCTGGCACCCAGTAGGTGCGTCCGCTGGCAGACAATCAAGCGTTCTCTCCCAGCCCCAGCAGGATGGCCCCCTGCAGTCAGGTCTCTGGGATGCTGGGGCCTTAGAGTAGCCTGCTCGCTCCCTGACCTTCCAGGGGCTTCCAGGGACATACCAGCCTCTTGCTTCCTGGGGCAGCTCTGACCTGGCTCTCCACCCCAACAAAACCATTTCCCACTTGGGTAAATGATGAGGGGATGGAGGCGCGGAGCTGGCTCTGGGATGGGGACGCAGAGCCGGCTCTGGGACACCTTCAGCAGTGCTGGGAGTGCGAAGATACTGAACGCAGATTCCGAGGCCTGGGACCCAGCAAATGTGATTCCGTAGGTTGGGGGTGGGGGGTAGGCAAGGAACATGCATTTTGCTATAGGGTCCTTGTGCTCACCAGAGAGAGGGAGAGAAAGAAAAGGCACCCCCAAGGGGGGGGGTTGGCCACATTCTTTCCTGGGATTTGGGGTAGGCACACATATGCACCCAGTATGTCTCTCAAGTCACCAGGTCTGGGACTCGAACCATGTAGTCAGCCACGTAGGACCCAGCCTCCTTAACCACCACGTGACCTGATTAGCCCAGAACATGCCTTTAACCCGCTGCCCTGGGTCATGAATGCAGGGACTCCTGATACCTCGTAAAATATATCCATACGTGGACAACCCGACTCTCCTGCTGTGCAGATGGGGACACCGAGGCTCGGGCCAGCGATGGGGCATGCTGAGCTGTAGGGTTGGGCAGGGCAAGGTGGGAACCCCGGTTTCCCAACTCCGACTCGGGGGCCCCTATTGCCTCCTGGGCAGCGATGCCGTGGAGGGGATGCCCTCACCTCGTTGATCTCATGCAGCCGAGGTACCCATTCTGCTCTGGGTGGAGGCTCCCTCTGTGGAAGCTTCCAGGCCTCACACCCCTGGACCTCCTTCTCTTTCACTGTTCCAACCCCAGGACCTCCTCCAAGACCCTGCCCACTGCCCACAGGGCCCCAGAGTCTTGGCTTTTCTTAACTTGTTGCTCTTGCTCCCTCCCACCCCCTCCTGCTACGCTGTCCCCCAAACCAGAAGGTCCCACTGCTCATCCCGCACACAGATCGCAGAAAGCAGAAAGAACGCCCTCCAGAGCCGTCCACTTCAGGACACGGTGAACGGCAGCATGACTGGGAGAGGGGCCCACGTGGACTGGGCTACCATCACGGTGGCCCCAGAGTCCGGCTGACACCAACAGCTTCCCAGATGTGCAAGAACACCAGAAAGGGTGGCCGGCTGCAGCGAAGGGCTGGAAGATCACTTTTCTAGTCTTTGAATGACCCTTCTTCCCAGGTCATCCCTGGTTCCAGCAGTGAGACTCTCCTGGGGACCAATGTGCCTCCTGGGGGGCTGGGCCCAGGCCAGGGGGTGTTCTGCAATGCACCCTGGCCCATGTCACCTTCCTTGCCCTCTGGGTGCTGCCGGGCACCCTGTCTCTCCCTCTGCTCAGTTGGGAGCCAGCAAGGTGACGTCCCCCTCCCTCTGTCTAAACAGGAAGCTCCCAAGGCTCGGCCCTACTCAGCACCTCACAAAAGGCACTTAACCCTTGGTTCGCACCAGCCCGGGTATGTCTGCTTGTGAGTCAGCAGCAGCCTGGCCGCCGGTGGGCGGCGAGTGCCTGGATCGATCACGGGGCTGAGCTGGGGCCCCTGGGAGCTGCGAGGCGGCAGGGTGGGTCTGTGTGTGTCTCTGTGACTGTGTCTGGGAGGCCAGACCACCATGTGGTTCCCAAATGCCAGCCCACAACGAAGTTCTCACCGACCTACAGCAAAATGAGAATAGGGCCAATGAGCGAGCCTTTTGTTAGATTAAGTCAGCTTGGAGAACCTCTCTTTTCTCTGAGATTTGGAAACTAAAAGATTCTTTCTCGGATAGAGGGGTGGGAACAACAAGGTGCCCCCGTCAGCTCCCCTCAGTCGGCTCGTCAAACCGCCCGCTCTGTGCCAGGGCCTCTGAGTTCCCAGAAATACCACGAGGCTTGAAAGCTGAAAGTCTGGGAACCCCAGGGCAGGCGGTGGAGCTCTAGGCCTGACACATAGTAGGTGTACTGATGGTGATTGTGAGAAGAAAGGGTATGAATGGCCGAATGAATGGATACCGGAGCTGGGGGGGGAGAGGGCAGGGGGCCCAGCCAGCCACTGTCCCGCAGACAAAGGGACCCTCTGCAGCTGTCCCATGTCCAGCCAACTGGAGGCAGGTGTGCAGAGGGGGAGGGAGGCACTCCCTCCAGTTGTTTCTAGCCAGGAGGGTGGAGGGTCCTTACTCCCTCTGGCACCTTCAGATGCTGCCAGAGCTGTGCAGTCCCCACCCTGCCAGGCCTGGCCTATCCCCCATGTTACTGTGGCCCAGGCCAGGTGGCTGAGGAGACCAGCCTCCAGGCCCTCCCCTGGCCTCCTCAGGGCCCTGGGATGCAGCCCACACCTGCCCAGGGAGGTGTGTGTCAGACCCTGCCATTCCCGGGAACCCCAGGGTGGCTCTGGACAGCAGTAGAGAGCAGGGCTTTAGACAGGAATGGGAATGCATGGTTTTGGCAAGTGATTCGACATCTCTGAGCCTCAGTTTCTCTCTCCACAACATGGGGGGTAATTGGGGCCAACAGGTGGCAGATGTAGTGGTTAAGGCACTGGACTCTGACATGGTTGACCACAGTTCGAGTCCCACACACACCGTGTGTGTGTGCATCCCAAGATCCCAGGAGGAGAATGGAGGAGAAGGGATTGTGGCATGGCCATCCCCCTGGGTGTGATTGCACATTTTGCCTATATCTCTGGCAAGTGCATGCACCCTATGGCAAAAACCTTAAAGAAATGGAGGTAATCAAAGAACCCACTTCACACAGCTGGCAACACCTGGCCACATGTGGTAGTGCTGGGTCGACATGCCCACAGGTGCTCCCCACCCCCGACGGCCCATAGAGCCCCTTTTGTAGAATGTTCAGGAAAGCCGTGGCTCCCCTGGAATCACCCCAAGGTCCTTCTGCCCTGGGATAGCCACTGGTCCTTTTGAACCTAAGACACCATGAAAGCGTCCCTCATCCAGCCTGAGCTCAAAGTCCAGCCCAAGACAAGCACTGAAACCCTCCCTGTTTGTACCCACTCGGATAGTCCGACCAGGGCCCGTCCTGGTGGCCTGCTCGGCACTGGCCCTCAATGCCCACCCCCTGCCCCTTGGCCCCCAAACCAACCCCAGCCAGGTGGGCCCTTCCTCCCTAAGCCCTCGAGCCCAAACACTGAACCACGTGGAGAGAAGCCCGAGCCTTGGAACTGAGCAAATCCCAACCTTCCTGCTGGCTGTGAGACCTTGGACAGGTTGCTTTGCCTCTCTGAACCTCCCCCAAAATAGAGAGGGTAATCGCTAGCCCTTTCTGACCCAAGGCAGCTCATGGGGCTGTAGCGCAGACCCTGTATTTTTTTTCATTTGCTAGAGGACACAGACTCACAGAGACGAAGAAAAAGTGAGAAAGCACCCCCGGGGGATGGCCACACCACAGGTCCTGCACCTCCATGCTCCTCGTGGGATTCTGGGCACATCTACACACACGCCTGGCCTGTTCTTCAAGCTGCCAGGTCCTGGACTGAAACTGGACAGCTGGCCACATGGGATCCAGTTGCATGAACCATCGCACCACCTGGCTGGCCCAGAGACCCTTTATGAGCACCTACTATGTGCTAGGCATGGCGCTCAGCACCCCATACCTACTCAGGACTTGCCACACCCTACAAGGGGCACCGTAGTCCCTGGTTCCCATTCCACAGATGGCAACACTGAGCCGCAGGGTTCCTGTAGGCCTCAAGGGCGGTATCACACAGGTGCTGTCGTTACTGCTCCAAATTCACTTTTCTTTTTTATTTTTAAAAGAATTCATAAGTTGCATTCGTTCTCCATAGGGCTCATGCGCTTGTTAGAGAGAGAGGGGGAAAGTGAGCAATCACTACCCTACCCCCTCCAGGTGGGATAGCCATACGGCAATCCCTTCTCCATCCTCCTGGGGTTTGGGGCAGGCACGCACACATACCCAGTGTAATTTTCAAGCCTCCAGGTCTGGGATTTGAACTGTGGTTGGCCAGGTGGGATCCAGAACCTTAACCACCATGCCACCTGTTGGCCCCTCAAGTCCACTCTTCTAGAGTCTTCTGGAAGGTTAAGCTCCAGCCTGTTGAGCTTCTGCCCACCCTTGGGTGCTAGGTGTCCTGAGGTCCCTGTGCCACCCCCACGTGCTACTGGCTGGAGGAGCAAGAGCGTCCTGGAACCGGGAGTGACGGACTGCACAGCAAGCACCCTCCCTGCGGGCAGAAAGGCAGCGGGGCCAGCAGGTGGCCGGCATAGAACACCCGTGATGGGCCTGCTCGGGGATGTGGAGTCTCTGAGCCTGGGCCTGTGCTGGGCCTTCAGACAGGTGAGGGTGTGTCTTTGCAGGTGTGCAGGGAGAGGAGTTAGAGGCAGGAGCACCCGGGGCCTACAAGGGTGGCTGGGGAGGGCACGTGGTCGGAGTCTGCCTCGCGTCTTATTTAGGGTTTGCCGTAGGGCGTATGTACTCGCAGTCAGCAGGGGCCTCGCCGACATCTGTGTTATCTCCCATTCAGGTGGGAAACAGAGGCCAGAGGAGGGATGTGACATACCCACAGTCACGGAGAGGACAGCAAAAGCCAGGACCAGACCCTGAGTGTCCTACCCCTCCGCAGTCCACTGCTCAGTGACCACACACGGCTGTCCCCCACTAGGAAATGGAGAAAGGGGATGGGAGGAAGGGGTGAGGGAAGAGAAGAAAGGCTGGCTGGTCTTTTGAGACCCATTCTAGAGGAACCCTCAGCTCTCCCCAGCCCGCTCCTGTCTCCACAGGCGCCTCTCATCAGCACCCTGAATCGGCGTCAGACAGGGGAGTTAGAAGCTGAAGTCAGCTGCGGAAAACGGAACTACGGTTCCTTGAAAAAAACAAACAGGACGAACACGTGGTTCATCAGCTCCGCTCTGGCGCGCCCTAAGCCACTGAGAGCGGGGACTTGAGCAGGTACGCACGCACCCACGTCCCCAGCAGCCCTCTACAGCAGGCGAGAGGTGGCCCGGCCAGTGTCTGCTCCTGGGCGCACACACAAACGGGCCCCTCGCACACCATGGAACACTAGCCTGCCTTCCAAAGAAAGGCGAGTCTGACACTTGCCACCGCCACATCTGGACGGACTTGCAGACACCACGCCCAGTGAGCTAAGCCAGACACCAACGGGCAGATACCGTGGGATTCCCCTTCAGGAGGCCCTGGAGTGGTCTGACGCACACGGACGCACGGACGCAAAGCAGGATGGTGGCTGCCAGGGCGGCTGGCAGGGGAGTGGGCAGTTCGTGTTCGCTGGGGACAGAGTCTCCGGTTGGGAGCTGGACGGTGGTGCTGGTGGCACACCGGTGTGAATGCACGTAATGGCAGGGTACGCTAAATCTTACCGGTGGGCGTGTTTTACCGTAACAAAGAGCTGAGGCAAATCTGCCAGTTTCTCAACACCCGGGCCCTCAGGCGCTCCTCTGGGCCCCGCTGCCCATCACTGGTAAGGGGAGGTGGCATGTCTTCCTCCTCTCAAACCAGACTCCTGTGAGCAGCCCAGCCCAGCCCGGGGCTCCGCTCTCCCTGGACCATGTGGCTTGAGCTCCAAGCACCTCATCGTCCTGAGCCTCTGAAAGGTGGAGCGGCTCAGGATCCTCCCGGTCCCTCCTATAGCATGCCCTGGGTTTTCCGAAACAGGTACAGGTCCAGAGCAGGCGCCAGCAGCCTCCCGGGGCAGGGGGCCTCACCCCCGCCTGGCTCCAGGGGCTTCGTTTATTTGCACAGTGTGTCCGCATCCCTGTTCCCGCCCTGCCCACAGGAGGGAAGGCTTTACAGAAAACCTCAGTTATTAATGTGGTTTCTTTTGTTGTAAGTCACTGCAAAGGCAGCGGGCGAGGGTTTATTTTCCTAACGTGCTTGGCATAGCTCCGCACCCCGGCGCGGCCCCGGCGCTTGATTTGGGAGGAACCCGAGCCCCCGGTTGGTTCTGAGTCACCAGCAAAGCCACTGCCTTCCTGGCTGGTTCTAGGGGGAGGCTGGTCTTGGAAAGTCCTTGGCAGGAACAGGCTACATCTACTGATGGCTTTGTGAAAACAGGATTTTTAAAAAATTATTTAAAGAATTTTTGAGCCTGCTCACTTAGCAGGTAAAAAACAGTAATTTTCTAACTCAATCGCTTCCCCGGGGACCCTCCTCTCATGGGGCTGGCCCTCCCCTCTTTGGTGCCAGGCTCTTTCTCTGGAGCTGAAAACTGCTCCAGATGCCACAGGAAAGCCCACTTCCTAGCCCGTCCGAGTCCTCGGGCCCTGCAGGCCACAGGTCCACACCACTGTCCCTAGGGTTCGCTGCCCACTTCAAAAGGATCTGATGGTGTGGCCCGGGCCCACCAGGAAGAGAGCAAGAACGCTCCCTTCTCCCCTCCTTTGGGGTCTGCAGGACTTGGGGATCCACTGTGAGTGGCACAGGGAGGGGACGCTGGACCAAGAGGGAAGGGCAGGAGCTGGCCTGTGTCCCCAGCCACCTGCTTCCACCTTCTAACCACAGACCGAGACCCCAAAAGCCAGCCAAGGGATTCTTTCTCAAGCTCCTCCATGCCCAGGACAGAGCTGGGCAGGGCTCCCAGGAGGGAAGGGGACGGGTGTGTGGAAGAGCTGTGAGGGTCCTGGGCAGCCTCAGCACCACCTGACCCCACCCACTGCAGATCCTCTGACCCACGTGTGCCAGTGCCTGCAGATTCCTGTTACGGTGGGAGCCCCTCTCCAGGAAACGGCTGCGGGCTCACGGGCTGTCAGAGAAGGGGGCCTGGCCTCAGGGGAGACCCCTACCCACTGGCTGCCTGGAGGCGGCCCTGGGCTGGTGCTCACAGCTGACATGAGCATTCTGGGCCTCCCCAGGGAACCCTGGCTCCTCTGAGACCTGGGCTCTGCGTCCTCTGCGGAGAGGCTAGCCCCACCCGGCGGGAGGGCTCAGTACAAAGGGCCTGGCTCCTCCCTCTCTCCACCCTGCTCCTGTGCCACTCCCCTCCCCTTTCCATCCTTTTCCCTCCTTGCCTTTTTTTCTCCTTTCCTTCTTTCCCCTCACCCTCAGCTGGTAACTCCTCTCCTCACCCCCCTGGAGTCTGTGTATGGGGTGAAATCAGGCCTCACCCCTGCCCCGAGGGGCCCTCCAACCACCTGCGGCTGGCAGGCTGCACCCAGGCAGATGGCATCCTGTTTGACCCTGGCCAAACTGGACACCTCCCCTTCACCTTTCCACGGGGGACCAAAACTCCCAGGACAGTCTGCCGGTGCCACCCTCACCTCCAGAGGGTACAGGGTGCAGAGGACCAGGCGCCATGGCTGGCTGGGGGAGAGGAGAGGGTGCCACTGTGAGAAAACCCAGGGCCTCAGCCGCAGCCAGGCAGCCCTGGAGGGTGCGAGGCACAGGCTGGCCCCCGCAGCAGGCGCTCTGGGAAGGTCTCTGCTACAGGAGGTGTGGCCTAGGCCACCCGACAGGCACGGCAGTGCCAGGCTAAGCTGCGGCCCCTGTGTTTTCTCTGCACCTCCTCTCCCCTGAGAGGCCAGGGCACACAGCACCGACACCTGGAGGCCGGGCAGGAAGCGGGGGGTCCCCAGGGTGGGTGAAAAGGGGAGTGTCTGCCTATGCCTCCCTTACCTCCCCAGATACTCCAGGGAGGTGGGGTCAGGGGGACAGACTGGGCCAGAGGCCTCAGCAGGCACCCCAGCCCCCGAGCAAGGGGACCCTGCTGTGGTCCCTCTCTTCAAGGCGTGGGTGAGCTGTGGGGAGTCTGGTGTCCCCATCCCTGCTCCCCTCCCCACTGAAACTGTCCAGGGCCCTGCTTTATCTTCAGCTCCCACTCTCCCCCCACCCCCTTCCTAGCAAGGGCTCAGGACCCTGAGATCCTGTGTGACTTTTTGAAAAAAGCCACTTGGGTGGGTTGTTTGTTTTTAAAGCGCCTTCCTGATGACCTTTAACCTCTGCAAGGGAAGAGAGGCCTGGCAGGCTCTTCGGGGCTGGGCCATTCCACCTAGGAAGCCGCTTGTGGTCAAACTGGAGCCAGGGATCTGCGGGCATCCTCACCCCAAAACCGAGCTTCAGCCTTAAGAGCAGCCAGGGTGGTGGTTCTGGAGTCAGAGCAGGAAGGGACAGCTCGAACCCGGGCTGGGTGACCTAACCGGCTTCCTGGCTGGAACACGTTGGCAACAATTGCAGC